AGACTCCCTGTGGCAATTTCAGGACTCAATCCTACGCTATAAGGATAGTGCGACTAGGGCGTCGCAGCATTAGGTGCGGGAGAATGTCACGACCAGCCTGCTTGCCGACTCAAGCATGCTGCACGTTCACGTTGCTTACGGATTAAGTAGACTTCCGGGTGAAGCAGACTTAAGAGTTAAGTTAACTTAATAGCTAAGTTAACGACTCAGTAGCTAGGTTCGGCGACTAAGCACCTTCGTTTCCAAGGTTGCACACATACGCGCCACCCACGAGCTTCGTTTCCAAGGTTGCACGCATGTGCGCCACCCACGAGCTTCGTTTCCAAGGTTGCGCGCATGTGCGCCACCCACGAGCTTCGTTTCCAAGGCTGCCCCAATGCTTGACACCCAAGGTTTTCTAATGCTGAAGCATGTAGCTTAGTCATACATTTATTTGAGGAGCTTGAGCCTATAAATAGCCAACTCCACCATGTAAAGTTCATATCTTGAATCTGATCAATATACAGAGTTTATATTTTCTCTATACTTCTCTCTCGTTTATAAGCTTTTAGCCTGTGAGTTTGTGTGAGCGTTAGGCTGCTTAACTCATTCTCGACGAGTTAAGGCCGCACGAACTTAGCAAAGAAGTTAAGTGCGTGACAGTAAGGCTCTGTTTGGTTGCTTTTGGGAATTTTAGTATTCTCAACAAAATTAAATAGTAAAATTGTAAAAACTCACAATATTATCAATATTATTTAACTATTTTTAAACCCTTTAAATTTGTTAATTTAATTAAATACCTCTAAATATTTTTTTTAAAATTGCAAAAACACCCCAGAAACCCACATTTACCAGATTCCGGCCACCACGGTTGGAAGATGGCCGGAATCTGGTATAATGGCGCACTACCGGTTGAATCTGGTCGGTAGTGCGTCGATCTAGTGTTTTTCGGTCAGATTCACGATGGATCTGGCCGAAAAAGGCCAGATCTAAGGCCAAAGATCTGGCCGTTGACGGCTAGATCTTTGGCCGTAACCAGTCGTCAATGACGGCCAACATATGGTCGTCGTTGACCATCAACGACGACCGTAGCTTTGGCCATTATTGACGAGCAAATGCGGCCAGATCTAGTCGTAGATCTGGCCTTTGCCGGCCAAATCCACAGTCGATCTAGCCGGAAAAGGTCATATCGGCGCACGATCGGTAAGATCCAGCCTGTCATGCCCCGATGGGGCGACTCCGGCCATCCTTTGGCAGTGGTGGCCAGCTGTCCGTATTTAGTGGGTGGATTTGAGTGTTTTTGTTAACTTTTAATGTTTTGTTATAGGAGTGTTTAGTAAATAAATAAATATAAGGGGTATTTTTATTAATTTTCAAATTCTACATCGTAATACCCGTCTAATTTAACTTTTTTTAACTTTTTTCAAAAAACTTTTCTAAAAAATGTAAAAAAGTGAACTAAAATGAGCTTAAAACATTCATAACACATGTATGAGGGTTGGGTTTCTTCAAGTTTTGGCAAACCTTAGGGGGTTAAAGGTAATAATTCATTTCTTGGTTGTAAGAATTTTCATTTTCCTGTAATTAAAAACTTCATAGAGGAAAATCAATTTCTTTCCTTCTTATAATAAATAACTTCTAAACATTCTTCATTATGAATTAATTGATTAACAAAGAGATAATCACTCTTGTATTATACTCCCTCTGTTTCAAAATAAAAATTATTCTGGGGATAATAAATTTTAAAAAATTAATGACGTTCCACATCGTCATTCTCCACTATGTTGCTCATCTCCTCTCTTCATCTTTTTCTCAATCCTGCCCCACACTCCTCTCTCTCTCTTTATCTATCTCCTCCCCCTCATCTCGGGTAATGTTATGGGTACTAATAGATTCTACAAATTGGTATACTAACTTAAAGCATAGTACAGGTATCATGCGCATAGTATAAGTACTATGTGTGATTTTAACAAAGATTAATATATTAATTAGAAAAATCGGTTAGTACGTACAGTATTATTTCTCTCATCTCTTCTCTTTCATAATTTATCTCTCGTTATTTTAATATTTTACACAGGTGGAAATTTTTTCACCTACAATACGAGGAAAAAGTCAATTCGTACAATCTTTCATTCATTAAAAACCGTGTAAAAACTTAAAATGATACTTATATAGAAACGGAGAGAATAACACCAAAAAAAAAATTACAGCCTCGGGTGACAACGGCGGTTTTGAAGCTGGCCCTTCACTGCTGGGGTTGGATCGAGAAGATGTGATATCCTATGGATCGAGAAGATGTGATATCCTAGTGAACCTGTTTTGATTTTGAGTTGGTGTCAATCATTTGTCCATTAATCATTTATTTTTGAGTTGGTGTCAGTGTGCATTTAATTATTTTTGAGCTAGATTAATGGATAAATTGTAAAAAAAAAAAATGATTGGTGTCAGCTAGAGGGGGGCATTTGGGACTCGGAAAATCCGGTCCAAAAGTCCGGTCCTCGGATGCTTGGTCCCAAAATAAGGAGGAGAGTGTGAGCCCTCCATTGGGCCCTCCACCAAGGCTCGGGCTGGGCCAAATTTTTTTACATATTTTTATTTTAGTCTTTTATACAATACATAGAGTCTTTTATAAATTTTAAAATAAATATAAATTATAAGAGTTAAACAAAAATTTTACAAAATTTACAAAAAAAATTTCCAGGCCTTGAAAAATTTATAAATTTTACTCCTAAAAAATACTAAAAACCCCTTACAAAATTTTATTTTGCCCTAAAATATAAAAAAAGATCAGAGGAGAAAAATAATTTTTCTAGGCCCATAGGACCAGTCCTAAGGACCGATTCGGATCCTAGAATTACTTAGGGGCCTAAGACCAATCTCAGACCCATGAGTGACTAATCTCATTTGGGACCAATCCCAAAAGAACTAATCCCAAACAGATTTAGGTCTCGACATACTTGGGACTAGTCCTTGACCACCTCTAGTGTCTGTGGAGGACAAATTTGAAAATTGGGGTAGAAAATCTCTTTCTGCAAATTAATAAGATAGAATGTATTAAGATGATTGATAAAAGTGTCATCAGATCGCTAGAAGTTTAGAATCCGCAAGCAGTCGACATCTTAAAAGCCAAATTATTAAATGAGACGGATTATTAAATATCTTGTAAAAGACGAACAGAGTTTGAGAGAAACGGAACAGAATTGAAGCTTCTTGCTGGTGTATAAGACAGGTTTTTTATGTGAAGTTATTTTTTCATTGGTGTGATAGCTTTGATGTGACATCTTGTAATATATATATATATATATATATTTTTTTTTTTTTTTAACTAGGCATACTTCAATTAATCTATCATAGCCTTAGAACTGTCGATCAGATAAAAGTTCTAGTGACTACTTTATTAGTATTTAAAGAAACTCGAATTCATAAGTTCATGAAACTTGTTTTTGCTCTTTTATCATGAAGTCACCTAATGGTAATTTTTTGAATACATATTTTGATGTATTAACACGTGCCATGCCCATTAAATAACTTTATCCTTTTTTAACATGACTAAAAATTTGTGTAATAGTAACAATCACTACAAGAAATTAAAAAAAAAGGTGACAAATTTTTTTGTCATTGTATGGGTCAAAAGTCGTATTGGACGTGACAATGTCCAATAACAATGTGAACATCTCACAACTCAAAGCTGTGGCCCAACTCCGGTTGAGCGCATGCTTAAAATACCTTGTAAACTGTTCGCTCTATGAGTTGGGTCACCCCACGAGTTAAGCTGAACTGAGTCCAACCTATTCGCCTACAATGGTCCACAATAGGGATCATAGTCCCAATCAATTTCTTCTTCAAAAGATCCTAGATCTTACCCAAAAATGAGAGCCTGAACTAATAAAGTTAGGAAATTTGATCTCCTTCCAAAAGGAGATCTTCTCTACTAAGTAGGACTCAAAGTCCTACTAGGTGGGTTTACTATATAAACAAAGAGAAACCCTCTTATTAGGCATTCAAAAATCACCCTTAAGCTCCAGTGTTTTTGCCCCCAAGCTCTTCGCTGATTCCGACGACATCTCGGCATTACTAGGGTCCTCACAACTGCAAATGCACCTTTCGCAAGTCCACCAAGATTGTCAGTGGCTCGCATTACAAGATCATGTCTCAACAATTGTAATAATAGATTTTATCATCTACAATCATAGAAAGTAAAAAATTCATCCTAAAAAGTAATGAGGGATGACAGAGCAAATCGTCCCCAAAGTCGTGTTAACCAAATTTTTCAGACAAATTTTTTTGTTCATAGAAGAATACCTATTCGTCCAAAATAATATTGTTTCGTCCCAAAAAAAAAAAAAAAAGCACAATTGGGAACGAAAAATTTCGTCCCTGATTGGGTCAATAATTGAGGACAAATGTTTTCGTCATTGTCTATGTGGTGAATTGGGGATGAAAATTTTTGTCCTTGATGGTATGGTGAATTGGAGACGAAAATTTTCATTCCTGATCGTGTCAAGATTTGGGGACGAAAATTTTCCGCCCTGATTGTGTCAAAATTTGGGGATAAAATATTTCGTTCTTTTTTTTTATGATGAATTATAATGAGAATTTGTTATGGTTGAAAATTTACAGATGTATTGATTCTCAAAAGTAAAAAAAATTCATATGTAACATCTTTTTAATTATATAAAAAATATTAATTAATGTCAAATTGGTATTATTACAAATCAAGTAATACCCAATTAATAACAAAATATTATATATCTATACATTATCATAAACACATCTAATTGTAACTAAGATATAATCAAAAAAAAAAAAAAAAAAAAAAAGTATTAACCGTGAAATAAATACACTCTCCTTATTTGGATAATTGGATGTCAAAATAATATTATTTTCTTCGGTTCTTAATGTATTGTACCGCTCTTATGGTAGCTGCATGTCAGAAGCAGAAGACGACCCGGGCATATGATCAATCCCGTAACTTCTCATCTTACAATAACGAAGGTGGATTTTTATTTTTTTGTTTTTTCTGGGTAACAACTTGATTCGCTAATGCTCTCTTTTGTTGAAAAGAAATTTAAAATTTTCATTTTAACTTGATTGACTTATAGATGACCTCCCTCAGTCTTACTGAAAAAACATCTTAGTCAGGTTTCTGATTGCTGGGTTTGCAACTTATTTGGGTTATCTACACTTTGGAGTTCCTTTCATGGATATGAGAATTGATTTTTAGAATAGATTTTCGACTAGCGTTCTTGTCATTTATGGACAGAGATTCAACCATAATTTGCAGCCCCAGATCTCCTGTAAAGTGAGGTCTGATTCTGTAACTCACAAAGGTATACATTTGTGGCTGGCACTGGATATGTCGCATCTTTGCTCATCAGTCTATTGCTTCGGAAGGGGTATTCTGTCAACGTTTTGTGCTTTTACCCTTTCTTTCTACTAGATTTTGACATTATATGTGATCTAATTATTTTAAGTTTTGGTAGTCTACAGCTGCTGCACGTCTTCCATAATGTCACACTTGTGTTGGTGCTAATGAGGAACATGGTAATTATTAACTCATTTTGAATGTGGCATCTTGTGAGGCTTCTAATGAAATAGATGCTCCTAAAGCTGCATCTGTGATGGTGGAGCCACAGGAAGAGGTAGCCAAGCGAGGTGATACAAAACTATCAATTGAATAATCAGATTGCCCAAGCGGTCCTGTGACAGAGAAAAAATGGGTTTCGGCTGATAAAGAATCTTCTGCTACCTGCTGTAAAATGGATTCGACAGTGACACAAGCGTGAGCATCAAAGAATATTTGCTTTTTTTCTCTTTTTTCTTTGAGAATATGATATTTTTGAATTTTTTTTCTTGATCTCATTTCTCCTGTTAAATTCTCAGGAGTTAAACTGTATTGGAGACTGGAAGCCCAAAAGTTTAGAAGTTCAAGATTGATCTGATGGTGAGGTACCTTTATAGTTTAATCTACATATTATGTATTTTTTTGTTACTTTTTTCCGAACCTATAGATTTTAATTCATTTTTGGTGGAAAAGGAAAAAAACTTTGCAGTTCAATTTGAAACATTGAATAACTTAACATTTATCACAAGGGTCTTTAGTTATCAGATTACGTTGCTAATTTTTATCTTCTCATTTTTTATATAAGTTTCAACATTTGCTGATATGGAAGGGGAAGAAACATTTGATTCCTCATTTCTTGGGTCTACTGCTGAAGTGGTAGAGGAACGTGTTGCCAATGATGATGTGATTATGATTAAAGGGACTAAAACTGCAAGTGCATTGGGTGATCTACTTCCAATTGAAAGTTATTTTAAAATTTAATCGTATGACCTTGCTATTGGTAAAGGCGGAGTGTTTGATTTTGATACTTCTATTCTTTTTTGGGGTGAGAGTTGAGCTAGCTTACTTCAATTCCACCTCACCACTTTTATCAACAGAATTAAAGCCCGTGACAAGCATGTTTCCTGTGTACTTTAATCTATGCAAATCTAGAAGCAAAGTTTATCAAATTTGAAGTTCATTTAATATAGCAAAACATAACTTTTAGTCGTTGGTTATATTCATGTTTTCTGATTCTGCTACTATTATTGTTCTCAAGGTCTCATTGATACTTAGAGGAGCAAATAACCATATGCTTCACTTTTAGTGTGCTTAGTGTAACTCTCTGCTTAGATTGGGGGATCTTTTATATATATTTAACTCAGAGACAGCTCATTGTCACACTGCCTTTCCTGTGTTAGAGTTGCTGTATCTCCATAGACTGTTGAAGTTGAAGAAGATATGTGAAGGTCGCCTCTATGCAGTGTCATTTACCGAATTAAGGACCATAATAATTAGACAATGTGATGAGTTTAGAGTATATCTTCTCAATCTTCATGGCAAGAAACCTTTCACATCTCCAAGAAGTCGAAGTGACTGATTGCAAGAACCTAAAAGAGATTTTTGGTGATGAAGAAATTGAAGAATCTACAGAACATGCTGATCAGAGGTTATTTTTTTTATTTTTTATTTTTCAGGTATTTTATTACATTTCTAAGTTTGTTTACAGAACAAGAATTGTATCTGCAGGTTGTGTTCCCAAAACTTTTAAGGTTGACTGTGAAGGTATGTCATTCTTTGAAATTTATGTTTCCATCTGCTGTGGTTGAACTCCCATCCTTGAATGCAATTCACATTGAGAGTTGTCAGAGTTTGAAGATATTCTTCTCCGAGAAAGAACATGAAGTAATGAGCTTAGAGAATGACACTACTGTTATACATCCTTTCTTTGATGAAAAGATTTTTTTTTTTTTTTTTTTTTTCTTCTCTTTCAGAAGCTCATTTAACACAATACATGGACGTCTTATTCATCTTCTGCTTTGTGTTATACAGGTTCATTGTCCAAGCTTGGGATATCACCTAAAAATCCCAAGTAAGGGCTACAGAATGTTGAAGCATGAAAAACTTCTTTTCAGTCTCTATAGCTGCAGGTCTCTGGAAACTTAAAGAGATTGAGATAAACTCTTGTGGGTTGGAGGAAATTGTTGCCATGGAGAAAGTAGAAGCGCCCCCTAAGTTTGAGTTTCCTCAACTAAATTTCTTGCAACTTGTGGATTTACCAGAACTCAAAAGTTTGTACCTGAGGTCGCACACAACAAAGTTGCCATTGCTAAAAAGCTTGGTGGTTTATCATTGTCATAAGCTTCTTAGCCAATCCGAAAACCCAACTCAACATCCTCTGTTTTGCCTTGGGGAGGTATGCAATTTTTCTTTCAGCGGTTCTATGCTTTTCTGAGCTTTGTTTGAGGAATACGTAAAAGAACATTAATTAATGCCTACTTGGGATTTTTAGGTGATATCCGATAAGAAGTTGGAGAAATTGTCTGTAAACAGCAATGATATTAAATTGATATGCTCAGGCAGCAACCATTTTTCAGCAAAGATGTTTCACAAACTTGAAGATCTTCAGGTGGTCTGCTTTCATGATGAATCACCTGTCTTTCCATTAGATGTTCTTGATATTGTCTTCAGATGGACTCTATCAATACTTCACCTACAAAGAAGCTGTATTAGAAGTTGAGTTATTCATCACTGCATTTCCTGAAGGAGATCCTGCACAACATCTCATCGAAGAAGTACTATTCCTCACAGCAAAGAAAGCTGGTAAGAATCTGAACTAAATGAGAAAAAGTTAATCTAATGAACTTGGTTTTGTTAACAATGCAGGTATTGACTTCCATGTGTTGTTTGATATCCCACAAGGGGATCGCCGAAGATATAACGACGATGTTACTATCATCCTAATATCATTCAAGGGAAGAATATGGCGTTCATCTGTGTAAATAGAGATAGCTTATAGAAAAGACATATAAATCCATACAGGTTGGGCTGTCTTTTTTTTTTCATCTTTTCACCTTGATATAAGTATAAATATATTCTCCCCATTTTTTCCCATCATGTTTGTAATACCAATTAGGCTGATTGAACACTCAGAGAGACTGTTCTACATAAATGATCAATCAATTCTTTTTTCTGTTTTATTGAAGAAATTCAAGAGTTTTTGTTTAAGGAAAGCAACACGATTTTTGGTTACCAAATTAAGTAAACTATTCAAGTTTCGTTTCATTTTGATTTCATTATAACTGAACGACTTTCGGCAGCCACATGATTGTTATCATAAACTAATTAATTGGGAGATTAAACAAACAAACAATAGTTTTCTTTTTAACTTATTGACTTGTAGATGACCTCCCTCTTTACTGAAAAAACATCTTAGTGAGGTCTGTCTTTGCTGGGTTTGCAAGTTATTTGGGTTATCTACAATTTGGTGTTCCTTTTCATGGATATGAGAATTGATTTTTGGAATTGATTTTCGACTAGCTTATGTTATTGAAAGTTGCTGCCTTTGAAGGGTTCTTAACTTAATATTATGATTTCCTAAAATTAGGAGATTATATGAATTTGGTTGATGCTACTATTATATTCCGGCATTTTTGTTGGTGTTTGTTCTGTTGGTGGATAGTAATGTTGGCAGTCTTTTCTGTTAATTATTTTTGAAATTAGAAAATATGGGATGAAGTTGGAGAGCCTGATGTTGAAAGGGATCAGACAACAATGGAGATTGAAAAGGAGTGCTGGCAGTATATGGGAGAAAATAGATGAGGCAAAAACTTCTAGAGCTCATCTTCAGAGAGCAATTGCTCTTTCTGAATCTGAAATTGCTGGTATATGTTCTTCATTGAGGGAGAGCAACCTGTGAATGTAAGTTCCTTTTGGATTGAAGAAACAAGACTAATGTTTTAACTTACTTCTTAGTGAATATAGTGAAATTTTTTAAGTGGTTGATAATTAGTATGTGTTGGTTGAGGACTTCAGTCTGATCAAAAGGCAGGTGGAAATTTGAAAGAAAAACTTAAAACCATTATTCCACAATTGGAGGATGTGCGCCAGAGGAAGACAGAGAGAGAGTCAATTTGCTGAAGTGTTACTGAATTGTGTTTTACCCTTTCCTCTGAAAAAACTGATGTATTATCAAAGTTGCATGTTTATACCTATAATATGCTGGAATACTTATCACTGTGTTCTCCACAACCTTGATTATCTTGGGGCTTTTTTCTTTTGGGTTTTCATTTTTTTTTTCTTTTCCTGCTTCTGTTTGTCTTTGTAACCTCTAGTTTGCAGTCATTTATATTGTATTGACAGGTCGACATGCCAAAATAGCAGAATTAATATGTAGAGGATGAAATGATTGACTAAGAACCACCGAAATGGTTTAAAATAGCTCATTTAGGATTAGCTAATTGAGAAATAATGGGTTTCTTCTTATTATGACATTCGTTTGGTTTTCAAGGTTCTTATTTTGATATTGGTTAGGATTGGGATGATGATATACTTGATAGAAATTGTAATTGTTTATTAATTTTATACATGACACGTTGGATGTGTGGGATTGAATCATAATTATATGTTTTAAAATTTGTATTATTTAACAATTATTATGTCTGAATATAATTAATTTTTTTTTTTTTTTACTACAATAAATTTGTTTACAACCTATTTCAAAAATATTGAATAAATGTACTTGTGCAACGTGCGAGCCAACCGTCTAGTTGAATAATAAATTTTGAATGCAGCTTCTCCTTGCTGGATTGCTGAATAAATATTTAGGAGGAAGTTATTTACAATTTACAATTAACTCATTTTTTATTATAAACGATATACATTTAAATATTATATATATCCATCAATAACATATCAGATTTCTTATGGTGCATTATACAATTAAAAAAAAAAAAAAATGAAGAAGAGGGTATTGATGAATGAAAGTTGAAACATAGATGGTCATTATGTTAATTTTATTAATTTGGGGTTAGAATTTTTTATTTTATTTTACTCTTTATTACAAGAAATAGTCTTTAAGGATATAACAATGGTCGAAATTAGTCAATGCATATTTTTATTAAGGCATCATGCCATGCCACATAATTAAGGTGCAAACTTTAGAATGGGAATAGTAAAGCGGAATAAATAGAAATCCAAGCCTATGTGACCCAAATTTAATGATTAAGTCGAGGAAATTAACATTAAAAGCCTAAGTGGAAAAACATGTTGAGCTTACAACATATAACTAGTTAAGATGGGTAGTCTAACTTTGTTTTTACACAATGTATTTTGTTAAAGGTCATCATGCCACATAATTAACGTGCAAACTTTAGAATTTCCAGTAACCCGCAGAATATTATTTTAATAACTTTTTATTTTTAATTTCATGATTAAGTCGTGGAATTTTGGAAATTAACATTAGCAATGTTGAACTTACGATGACCCTGCCTTCCATATAAAATGTACTTTACTTTGAATAGGCTTGAGAGCCGGGCTTTTTCTTGGTCCACAAGACTTTAGTATAGTCAGTTGAAGTTACCGGCCATAACCAACGCTAGAAGTCGACGCCAGTATAGTTCACGCTCAAAAATGTATCAGTTAACCTAGCTTGCATGAAATTTTGCCTATATCTTGAAGACAAAAAACTTACCGGCCAAGAAAGAAATATGGATTTAAAATAGTTGATGCTGATAATGGTGATATATGTAGTCATAGATTTGGAATGTATCCAAGACTTCAACATTCCATATGTTTTCACACTTAGCCCTTGTTTTTCTTACATATTTTAGACTTACATCGGACATAGTCTTCTTCTTCCATAGAAAAAGAAACTCTGTGCAGTATATATAATTAATTCAGTTTATCAGTTTTGTTGTTGACAATTTATTCTTATGTGGGAAATTTATTGAAAGTTTCATTCACTTTTACGAATATCGGTTGTTGGGTTAGCCCTCTTCAATTTTGCATGTTGCCATAACATGAAAATTAGAATTTCTTCTTATAAAACAGTAGATTTGAACGTGTCTAATCGGTGTGAGACTTTAATACTTCTCCTCATGATCAAATCCATATGTTTGGTGGTGCCTGTTGATAAGATGACAATTAGAATTTCTTCTTATAAACTAGTAGGCTTGAATGTGCCTAGTCGATGTAGATGGGATAGATATAGTATATATGATCAAAGAGATCGAGGAAAATGACTTTAGAACATTTGTACAAATGATGCCTAGTCTAAATTTTCTCAACTTTCTAAATGCAAAAATCCTCTAAAAATTTTCTTTTTCTTTCTACTAAATTTTGGATCCAAAGGACAGAGTGAAATTTGATGATGAGTGATGACATGCAATATCTTTCAATTCTAAGTTTGTCATTGTGTGTGCTTGGAAGATGCATTTTCTCCTAATCAGAGAGTAGAAGCTTAACTAATTAATTTACTCATCATTATAATGACTTCTTACATAAATCCCAGAGAGATTGTAATCAACGACCAAAATGGTATAATATTTGGATATTAATTAGAGCCCTTAACATTGAACATAACATAAACCTTCGCTCTTAATATGAATGTTGGTGTATGTTAATGATTAAGAGCATCTCTAATTGTGGGTTTTATTTTAAAGAGTATCTTTCATATAAATAAAGAATATCTTTATTAATTTTTAAATATAAAGAACATAATGATAATACTTTTTATTTTTAAGAAAGAGACTTAATAGAAGAAAAAATTAATAAATAAAATGTATAGAAACTTGTAGTTTATTAATTAAAATTAGGATAGAGAGTTGACTCTCTAAATGTGGAGAGTCAAACTCACTCTTTAATTTATATTTTAAAGATAAAAAATCTGTTAAAATCCTATTTTATGGATAAATTATTTATAATAAAGAGTTTGAATGATATAAAGAAAACTCATTCTCTAATTTATATTTTAAAGATAAAAAATTTATTAAAATCTTATTTTATGGATAAATTTCTTACAGTAAAGAGTTTGAATGATACCAAGAGTTATTTAGATAAGCTGATTTTTCACTTTTGTTGTTGCATGTTAGTACGGTGTAGAATTAACTGTGCTTTCCCATGATTTATTTGTGATGAGAGAGAAAATTTAATGTCAGTTCGGGCAGGTAGCAATAGATAGCTGTCAGAGTTTGTACGGATGTCACTCGCTATAATGTAACATCTGACTTTTTTACACTGTCCGTACTTTCGTTTCGCAGGTTTAGTTACTGTTCACCCAACGGCCATTATTGAATAATCTTCTCACTCTGAAAATTAATTTAATTTTATCATATTTAAATTAAAATTAAATACACGTGCCTTATGATGAGAGTGATAGCATATATAGATATGTAAAAATGTTTCTGAATTTAATTTTATCATATTTAAATTAAAATTAAACACACTTACCTTTGTGTCTGATGACACAGCTTGTACAACATAATAAAAAAATAATCTCCATTGTGTTAATAATCAGAATTAATCAGAAAAAAACAATCCAAGACATGATGAAGATATATTATAATTATAATTCTTAATTAAAATAGATTTAAAATAAAATACCTTATTTTCTTCAAATTTTAAAATGTTATTCCAAATTGATATATGTTGTTAATAACGGTTTTTTTAAGTTGGTTTTAACCATAAGTATATATTAACTTAAAATTTTATTTTATATTACATAACTAGTAGTCAAATGAATGGTTATTAAATTAATTATAAGATTTATAATTGTTATATGGATAATACCAAAACTGTTGCATAAGAGCTTTATATATATAAGTCTGTTCCCTACATTGATAATTAGACAACATTATATTACTAAGACCTAAAAAGCATAATCTATGAGCCAAAATGGCATTTTTAATGACAAAAATAATAATAATAATAAATAATATATTTTTATCTAAAAGGTATTACTTCAAACTTGTCTTAATGGAAAAGGAAAAAAACTATTTATGCTGTGACATATTGAAAACTTTCTGATTTAAACATTAGTATGTATTTCATATTAGCACAAAGAAAATTAAAATTTTCAATAATATTAAATCATCTATATGCCTTTATTTATTTATTCATTTCTCCAACAATTTCTAAGAAAAAACATTTAATCCAGTATTTTTTTTTTTTTTCTTAATGGGTCAATTTAGTATAAGTTTAAGAAGATATTATTGTGTGTAAATAGAAAATGATAGTAGAAGTACTGGGAGGTGGAGGAGGTTTGGTGCCCAAAGAAAGAAAGTTAAATCCACTAATTCACTTATGCCTTTATTGCCTCATATACGTCATCTGCTCTAGCGCGCCTTTAATTAGGACTATGCAAAACCGAGTATCCGAACCGGTTTTGACTAAAAAACCGAGTATCCGAATATTCGGGTATCCCTAAAAGGGTACCCGTAAACCGAACCGCTTTTTAGAGTATCCGGTTTTTCGGATATCCGAATATTCGAGTAAAAAACCGGATACCTGGTTTATGACCTGACTTTGCATGAATTTTAATTTTACATTTCAAATTTCAATTGCAGATACAATTTTTTCCATATACTATATTAACTTTTAATTTAATAACTTAAATACTTAAGATTTAATGTACACCAAACATCAAATGTTTTACAAACAAATACAATTCATAATTTTATTTTCTATCATTTCTAGTTTTACTTAATGTTTTATTCACTTAAACTTGATCATACTACAATTTTTTTAGAAGTTTTATGGTAATTTTTACTAAGAAGAGGATACTGTATAGTAAATAATTTTTATCTAGAGGATATATATATATCCTTGGGGTGTACACACCTTCAGATTTTTGAATTTCAAGCCTATACTTTTAGTTAAAAAAAAAAAAAAAATGTAGAGCCAGACTTTCAGATATGGGAAGGGAAGGAGCTAAGTCAAAACAGGAGAATCTCCATAGAAAACATTAAAGAAAGACATAATTTCCAAATGTGGCACCAAATGACTTATTGTTTATATCTGAATCTGATGCTTCTCAATCTCCAATTGCAAACTTGCTGTCTGGTCATCTTCCACAACGTCTGAGGTGTAAGGCAACAATTGCAGCGGAAATGACATGCTGGGCATTTATAATTCTTGCCCGTGTTCCAATTATTAATTAGACAGAAGACTAATAATCTTACAATCATTTATTATAGGCTTCTGGTATCCATTTCAAAAGAAACTTGTCTAAAGCTACCTATAGGCTTCTCAATTCGCGTGCCAAAGAGCTCACCTATA